GGCTCCCTGCTCGGCGGGAAGCCTGCTTCTCCCTCTCCCACTCCCCCTGCTTGTGTTCCCTCTCTCGCTGTGTCTCTCTCTGTCAAAAAAAATAAAACCTTTTAAAAAAAAGAAGAAAAAAATGTATATATAGTCAAGATTCCTGCAAAGAGATTTTTTAAAAAATCAGTTGAATATTTTAGAAAGGCATCCACCCAGAGATGAAAGCACTGGTTTTTCAGGTTGGAACCTCACTGCACAATAAAGTATTAATAAACAGGTTACTTCAAAGAGTGTATTTTGCTAACTTAGGGAAGCCAGTTGGAACGGTGTTAAGATAGGCCAAATAATAAAAATGTGCTTTAGAAATACTTGCCGTACATAGAACTGGCCCCAACCTTCTAATCTGATAACAGAAGCTCCTAGATCAGAGAAATTGCTTTTATTTATTTACAGAAATACTTGTAATCCAAAAGACAAGAGAATGAGGAGACAAATGAAATACAGGGTTAGCAGGAAGACTACAACAAAGATCTTCAATATGATGACTAATTACTATGTATGACTTACTTTTGGGAACAAAGCGTTTTCAACAGATAGACAAATGGTGACATTGACTTTCCTAATATCTGAGTATTCTTTATTCTGGGATGATAAAACAGAAATGAAAGTTACCTTTTTATAGTAAGGCTGGGTTTGATAGTTTTGAAATCAAAACCAGCAAATCCTATAAGAATTTCTGATAAAGAAGGGGCACAGTCGGCAGGGAGTGGAGTGTGTGAAATACTGAGGTCCCAGATGAGGGCCAGCTGGTTCACACAAGGAGAAATTACTGGGGCCATATTATTGTCCTGCATTATCATCAGCATTACAGTGAGATTCACAGGTCTGTTAACTGCCAGGGCTTAGAACGGAGTCTTGTTGGAACAGACAACAAAGTGTGCCATGAAGGCAGGTGGCCTGGGGTGGGTTACAGCCCATCCAACCAGGAAAGGCTGTTCCAAGGAGCAGCAATCCAGCAGTGCTGGCATCACCAAAGGACCCAAGCTTCACCCCTGAGTTAATTCAGGACAAGTCTAAGGAGTTCAAACACTATGCCAGACGCAAATATGGTAGCTGGGAAGCAACAGAAGCCAGATACCAAAATCCGAAGTTGAGCCAGAAAATAAACAGAGGATCTGCCTTAGTTGATTTCTTTTGTTGCTTTAATTTTAGGTAGGTCCAAAGGTCAATGCAGAATTCTGGGATAAAACAGGTAGACTGTTAGTGAACCAAAGGAAACATTTCTGCCGAAACAAGTAAACAAACCCAAGAAATAATAAGCCTTCGTGGAATTATTATCCTTGAAAACAAACGTAATGCAACATAAGTCTGTGTTCCAGGGGGCCTAGAAAGCAAGTTGACACCTGTTTAAACAAATGCTGATAATACGGAAGTTTTCCACGAGCTGTAATAATCCAACCCCATGGAACATTCTAGTTTCTTGGGCAAATGATACTCTGAACCACAATACGAGCTTTACTAAGAGACTTGTGCCTCCTAAACTCCAACCTGAACAACAGCAAAGGTAACTCAGTAGACAAAGGAAGAGCCTAAAGTGTCTAAGTGTCTGTGGCTATAATTCAAAATTTACTTCCTATTATCAGGAAGACCACTAATTAAAGAACATGCAGTCACCTATCAATCAGCTCTAGACAGAATGATCTTATTGCAGCCTGTGCATGGAAAATGCTACCTCTAATTTAGGCAGTTAGGTTGACCAGGTCACCTGAGCAGGCAAGGGCCAGAGTTCAAGGTGAAAAGTCTCCCCTTGAGCAGAAAAGAAACATGGTCATCGACGATGCACATTCACTGGCGACACAGTGCCTTTCTGCTTGGGTGGTTACCAAGCTCACAGCTGAACATATGGCCTGAATAAGCGGAACCCTAAGAGCAAGCACTTTTGATCCACGGCTGTCATATCTCCACTTTCTCACCACCATTGTAGGGAGACGGCCTTGTAAAGCCACCAGTGGCCTCTGCTTGCCCAATCAAGGGTCTCTCTCTTGTCTGCAGCTTCACTGATTCCCAGCAAGCATTCAACTCAGCTGTCCCTCCCACCTTCTTCTCTGACTTCTGTGATCTACACTCTCCAGCAGTCTGACACACTGGTTCCTCTTCCAGTCTCCCTTGGCTTCTTCTTCCTCTGTTGGACTTCTAAATACTGAAGAGCCTCAGAACATGGTGCCAGGGTACCCCCTTTTCACCTGTTCTATTCCCTTCAGGTAAAACTACTCAGTCCCACAGTTTCAAATACCCGTTATATTCAGATATCTAAGTCGGGACCTCTAGTACTCACTTCTTCCCCTGAGCTCGAGTCTAAATATCTAACTACCTTTTTGCCATTTTCATATCCTCTCTACCCCCGCCAAGCATGCCCCTCCCGTAGCCTTCTTTATCATGAAAATGAGCAAAACCATCCTCCCAATTGCTTAAGCCAAAAAACGAATAATCATCCTTGATTCCTGCTCTTTTGCTCACACCCCTGCTTCTACCTCCCCCTATGTCCAATTAATCACCCAATCATATTGGTTTTACATTCAAACTATATCACAAACCCAGGTTCTGCTTTAGATAATAGCCAAATAACTGCCAAGGGAACAATCCTCCTGAGAAAACAACTGTAAATTCTGGACATATATAAAACCCAACTACTCTGGAGCACTAGCGAGTGACCAGAAGTACATACATAATGGGGAAGGCACATCCAACAGACGCTGGAAAGTAAGAGAGGATATTCCTGAAAATAAAGAGTCAGGGAGGCGGAGCTCCAAAATTCTGTGTATAAACTCTGTCAACATCTCTGTTGGATTCCATAATGACATGTGAGCATGGCAAATCCAAAGCAGTCCAGCTAAGGCTAAAAGAACTGAACAAGATTCAGCTGCTACCCACTGTGTAAGAAGAGCTTTTGAAATTTGAGCAAGCCAAGTTAATTGCTAAAACAAAACCTCAATACCCTTTTTTTTTTTTTAAAGATTTTATTTATTTTTTTGACAGAGAGAGACACAGCAAGAGAGGGAACACAAGCAGGGGGAGTGGGAAAGGGAGAGAGAGAAGCAGGCCTCCCGCTGAGCAGGGAGCCCAGTGCGGGGCTCCATCCCAGGACACTGGGATCATGACCTGAGCCGAAGGCAGACCCTTAAAGACTGAGCCACCCAGGCGCCCCCTCAATACCCTTTGAAGCAGCATACAGAGTTTAGAGTATCTATAATGTATCAATCCCACTGTACAAGATACAATCTAAAATTATTCTACATATCAAGAAACAGGAAAATGTGGTCCACGTGCAAGAGAACAGACCATAAATGAAGACCATTCCAAGATGACTCTGATGTTGGAATTATCAGAAAAGGATTTAATGCAGCTATTAGAACTATACTTAAAGACCTAACAGAAAATATGCATGTAATGAAAAAAAGCTAGGAAACAGCAGCAGAAACATATTAACTATGAGAAAAACCAAACAAATTTTAGAACTAACAAACACATCTGAAATAAAAAATTCAATGGATGGACATAATAGCAGAGTAGAGATGCCAAAAGAGTCAATGAATTTGAAGACAGATGCACAGAAACTTTCCCATCTGAAGAACAGAAAAAATATCTGGGGGAATAATTGAACAGGGCATCAGTGATATTTGGTATAATATCCAAAAATAAAACACACATGTAATTGGAGTCCCAGAAAGAGGAGAAATAGAGATTGAGGTAGAAAAAAATGCTTTAAGGATAATGGCCCAAATTTTACCAGATTTGATGAAAGATACAAATTTACAGATTTCAAGGAAGTCAGCAAACCCCACAAAGGATAAACACAGTATCTAAAATTACTCCACTAGGGGCACCTGGGTGGCTCAGTCAGTTGGGTGTCTGCCTTGGGCTCAGGTCAGGATCCCAGCGTCCTGGGATGGAGCTCTGCATCAGGCTCTGTGCTCAGCAGGGAGCCTGCTTTTCCCTCTCCCTCTGCCTGTCTGCCTACTTGTGATCTCTCTCTGTCAAATAAATAAAATCTTAAAAAAAAATAAAAATAAAATTAAATTACTCCACTAAAACACAGAGATTTTCAGAAATGGGGGAGGGGGGTGAGCAAGACACTTTTATATTTGTCTCAAAGAAACAGATTTTATATATAAAAACACTGGTTGAAAGTAGAAAGGAAAAGATATATCATGAAAACAGTAGGCATAAGGAGACTGAAAGCCTATAATAATATCCAGTGAAGTCATTTTTAAGACAAAGACTATGACAAGCAATGAAGAGGGACATTTCACATGAAAAGACATAACCATCATAAATGCATATGCACCTAATAACATAGCTTCAA